GCTGTATATTGTGTACTTGTGCAAAGTTTATAAAGTAAACTGTGCCCTGCCGGAATCTTTTACTGGGTCTTTTGACTTGTTATAAAATAAGTGTTGATTTTTTTTTATTATTCATTTTATGGCTTTATTTAATGAAACGTCACTGACCCCCTTTCTTCTTTCATTTAAACCCGTACAACATACAGGGCAGTGGTGTTATGCTATTATTTTTATTATATTTCACAGAAAAAGCTGCATTGTCAGAGCTTAAGGTGTCAAACAGGTCCTCCTCACCTCCACAGCTTCCCCAGGGTCTTGCTGAGCTCGGCGTTGTGAAGGTGGGGGTACTGATCCGCCAGCTTCCTCCGGGCAGCCTGAGCCCACACCATGAAGGCGTTCATCGGCCTCTTCACGTGTGACTTGCTCTTGCTGCCCGCGTTCACGCGCACGGGCACGGGCACGATGGTCCAGTCGTAGCAGTTGAGCACCTGACTCACCGCCTCGCGGATGCCCGCGGGGAAGCGCTCGTCCTCGTCTTCGGATCTCAGGGACGAGCAGCCCGCGGACGCGTCGTCGTGCAGCGCCGCCAGCTGTGGCTGCTGCCCGGGAAGGGGGGAGTCGCCCCCGCCCACGGCGCCGGAGGACTGACCCGGTGACAGGGACCGGCTGTCGTCGGACTCCACCTCTGAGAAGCTGCGCTCCTCTCTGGACATCTTCCTCCACAGAACCTCTGACTTCCTGCTCCTAAACGCTCAGCTCTACCTGTCGGCCTGCTGTTAGTGTGAGTTTCTAACCTACAGTGAGTGGCAGCTGTTGCTCTGTCTCTCTGGCTTCCTTCTGTAAGTTATAATATAAACTGCCAGTCTGTCTCTACTCTCAGCCTCCGCTGCAAAACTCTGTGAGGATTCCACATCAAAGTTCTTTCCATCCGTGTGGTTGGTATCATAGGCGGCTCAGTGCGCACGTTGGACCCCAGTTTACCTGCTAATGGAAAGCGGTCAGAGCCAAACTCACCCGGTCTCTCTGCCCCCTTCAGCCTCTGCTCCGTTTGCCCCACAGATCCAACAGAAAGGACCTGGAACAGGGGCATCATGTCAGTCTATTAGAAACAATGAAACCTCAACACAGTGGGCTTTATGGAGATGCTGCCCTGTGATTGTTGTGCGTAAAAATAAAAAGCTCAAACATCAGCATCTGAGGAGAAATCTGAATGATTTCTCATTAAAAATTTACAGCCCCGCACTGCTGTCCTGAGTGGCTCTCAGTTTCCAAACCAGCTACTGTTCAAAGTTTTAGAGTTTATACGGGCTCCCTRGAGAGGGTGCGCTGGAATAACACGAGCACAGAGCTCGGATTTATCCTCGGCTCCTGCGTAAACATGACCTGGCGCTGCGGACACAAAACCCCCGTGTGTCCGCGCATTTCTGAGGGCGAGTGTGGAACAGGGTGGGGGGGTTGAGGGGTGCAATAACCTCGATTTGATCGCCCACCCTCAAAAGTAACGTGCCAAATCAGCAAACCTACTCATAAACGGATGCATTACTTTGAAACTGTTTGCGTAATTGCCTGTGTTTACAAGGACATGTACAAGTTTATGACTATCAGATGCTGTGTTTGTGAGCATTTCTCTAATAGTTTAAAATGGGTATGTTTCCTTTTTTTAACCAAATCCAAAAAAAAAAAGCCTCGAGTGGTGATCACATTACAGAGTGTGCCTTAATAAACAGCTCCTAATTAACATTTGAGTGGCTGCCAGGTGGATTATTTTCTATCAGAAGGACTGCTTAAACCTCCACCACCTGTTCAGTTCAGATATTCGCCTGCCATCTGGTCTGCAGGCTACAGACTGTCATTAAATCTCGAGATCTGTGCGTAAAAGCCGTGCGTAAAAGAGCGATGACACTTTTACGCGCGGTGTTTCATCACAGTCCGTTATTTAGCTGAAGTTTTCTCCATTTTTATTTCAAACCGTGTTTATTCTTACTGAGCAAGATTATTTCATGTTAGAAAAAGTGAGTTATCTTCCAGCATGCTCTCTCCTCAGCAGCAAACATTTGATTTTATTATCAGATCACACAGAGACCCTTACATAAATTGTTTACGACACACCCTTTAGACCGTTTCAGTCTGCTATCTGAGCACATTGGCTGCGCGTAATGAATAATGGGAACTCATTCTCACCGCCTGACTGCCCAATAAGTTGGCCTTAATTTGCTCGCTGGAAAGTTTGTTTGTTTTCTTTGATAAGCTTATCCTGCTCCGGCATACTCCAGTTAAGCAGCAAGATGCAATTTAATAAAATTAAAATCGAGTTTTATTGTAAAATTCTTAGCTGATCTTGTTGCTAAAGTTTTTAAAACTTTTTTTCATATTAGTGAAAATAGTAATCTGGCTTCCTGTCAAAACCTTAAAATTGAAAATGTAAAGCCTAAAACAGATAGATAAATAAATACACATTATTTGAAATAAATCAGTTTAGCTTGAGCGTTTGTTCCAGAATAAAACACGGAATCTATAGCCAAAAGAAACGAGTTTAGTCAGCTTCCAGAACGAGCTCAGAAATCTCTCAAATATGACAAAGAACAGAAAATTCTGTAAAATTTGACAACTCTAAAGTTTGCGTCAAAGAAGTTTTGGCCAAGAAGAAATGAACCGATCGAATCTCAGAGTGCCTGCAGTCACCAGCACCGCGGAGCAAAGAGTTGGAAATGCCAAACGCCCTTACTTCAGTGATATGAAAAGGAGGTCGCTGCTTTCAGCACGAGAATCCGTGAGGTTCCAAATTGACGCTCGCTCCCCAGCCCCCTCGCGCTCTCACGCAGCCTCAGAATGAATGCCTGCTCTGTGTGTCCGGGGCCAGGACTTAAAGAGCCMCTTGTGTGAGACGGAGAGGAGAAAAAAGCTGCAGAGACGAGTCTTAAAGCTGCAGTACACCACTTCTGAGGACTCTGATTGGTTAGAAAGAAAGATCGATCTATCTATCTATCTATCTATCTATCTATCTATCTATCTATCTATCTATCTATCTATCTATCTATCTAT